AGATCTGGGACCAAATCCGTGTGCGGGAAAAGCACAGAAACGAAAAGCATCGAGTCGGCCGCATCCACCCCTCTCCGAAGCTTTTTAGGGCAAAATCTCTTGGAGCTGAGGTTTGCGGAGGCTTCAGGCGGACTTGATCTGAAGGGGCGCAGTGCGCGGCCCCCCGCCCACGAAGCCCCGGCTCCACGAAGGCCTTCTGAGGGTAGGGGAATTGCCGTGGGGACTGTCAGCGCCGCATCCGGGCCCAGATTTCTGCGCCCCGGGGACAGCATCGCTAGAGGGAAATCCGCAGCGACTCCTCAGGTGAGGAGCCCGCGGCGCGTGAAACAAACCTGCACACTCCAGCGGGCTCCGAAGAGGGCGGCGCCCACGCTGTGCGGTCCCCGACCACTGGCTTTGGAGCCCTGGCCCCAACTTGCCGCCTACCGCCGGCGGGACAGTCCGGGACGCTCGCTTGAGGGCCTAGACCTCACCACCCAGGACGCCCCTGCCTCTCAAGCTCGAAGTCTGCGCACCCGGGGGCGGGACAATAAATAGGGAGGGATGCGCCCAATGCCAGCAGACCTCCGCCCACCAGGCTCCACGCCGGAACTACATGTCCCAGGAGGCTCTGGGCGGCCGCAGCTTTCACCGGAAGGAGGCTAGTAGAAGTCGGGGAGGAGCCCAAAGGGATTGTGGGAGGGAGGCGCCTTCCTTTCCGTCTGGCGGCAGCCATCAGGTAGGCTGTGTCGGGTATCTTCGCCCCTCCATCCGTCGGTGATCGCCCTCCGCCTCAGCCATCCAGGCTCGGGGACCCTGCGTCCTCGGAGCTCCTCCTGCCTCCTGTGCGGCGAGAGTTCGGTCAGGATGCGGGGCAGCGAGGGCGTGGAGAGACGGCCGACGGGGCGGGTTGGGGGCAGACGTGATGGCGGCGCTCATTCGAGCTGGGCCCGGAGTCTGGAGGACGCGTGGGGTGGAGGGTTGGGAAGCTGGCCTGGGGCGGCCTGAAGCGCGGCCGGCTGTGTGTAGGGGGGGTAATGCTTTTTCTTCGAGAGGTAACCCTCGGCGGCGGCGGCACGTACCCCTGTGGTATCGGTGATACCTTGCAGGCTGCGCCCTTGGGGACGCCATCTGCCGCAGTCACCTACCCCTTCAGTAACCGTTTAGTTTCGCTCTTCGGATAAAAATGTGCCGTGCGCGGCTCTGCGCTGGGGTTGCAGAGGTGACTGAACGCGGATTTCCGAGAGCGCAGAGGTGGGGTGGGGTCACCTGTCCCCTGCAGTTGGTGCAGAGCCATTTTCATTCCCATCGGTTTCCTCGTGGGTGGTGGTGAAACTAAGATGGAAGGTCGGGGTCTTATTATACTTTAAGCGGATGATATTTTCCTAATGCCTAGTTTTATCTCAAAGGTAAGCCAAGATGGGTGCATACAAGTACATCCAGGAGCTGTGGAGGAAGAAGCAGTCCGACGTAATGCGTTTTCTCCTGAGGGTCCGCTGCTGGCAGTACCGCCAGCTGTCGGCGCTGCACAGGGCTCCCCGCCCCACCCGGCCGGATAAAGCGCGCAGACTGGGATACAAGGCCAAGCAAGGTGCGTTGGTCTCCTTGCCTGGATGCTTGGATGAAATTATCTTTCTAGAGAAAAGCTAGATACCGGCCATTAGGAAGACACTATCGTCCCAATGTCTTTTTCGCATAAGGTTTTAGCCCAGTAGTGCTAGCAAAGCATGCAATTTAGTTAGTAAATTACTGTATTCGCTGTTGTCTAAAGTGGCAAGTGTTACAAATCTGTACGTCTCGACTAAAGCAAATTAATCAATCTGTTTTCTTGTATGATTAAAGTTCTTTGAAAAACACTTTTTTTTTCAGTCTTCATAGGGTATTATTTTATCACCATCAGATGGTATTTAACTTACTATCTGAAATACTTGGTAGTGGAGCATTAGTGACAAGTCATTGAATCTGTCTTAGGGCTTTCCATAAAACCACTGTAATTTTTTTGTGTTTATAGGGTATGTCATATACAGGATTCGTGTGCGCCGGGGTGGCC